AGCTTTGTGACTTTGGGCAGCTAGTTAACTTTTGCCTCAGTTTCCTCATCTGTAAAAGGGGATCAAAATGGAATGTACCTCCTAGGGTTCTTACAAGAATTAAAAGGGTTAATTCACATAAAGCAGTTAAAGTGGCTTTTGCTATCAGGCAAGAGCAAAATAAACAAGGGTTAATTACCGATATTTTTTCAAACATGAATATTCACTATTTTAAAAACTATTTTCTCTTTACTTTTTAAAATACTATTACAACTTTTTAGAAAAACTATTTTTTAACTGCAAATACAGTGTTTCAGTCATATAATCAATTAAGTATACACTTTTACTAGGTAATAGGGAGATCTGACAACCAGTTATGATATTATTTCTATGGAAAATTTATTTTGAATTCAGATATTTATTTACAAATGAAATTCTGAAGCATAGTTTACCTGGAAGATAGAGAATGTTTCTATTTTAAACATTCATACATATGTATACAAATCTATGATATCTCATTTAATTTTCCAGAAAATTACTTACTTTTTAAAAATAGAATTTATTTCATGAGCAATTTATCTGTTTCTTTCATCATAGCTATTATAAATCAGGTAGCCCTAAAAAATTAAAATCAGAGGTGAAGGGCTCTAGAATCTCTTCAATTGTTCACAGAATTTGGCTTTTGCAACCAGACACAAAAGTGCTACAAAACACTATGTTTATATTAAATAACTACTTTAGGCTTTACCATCAGCACTTTCTAAGGGCTTACTTTGCTAAAGTTAATTTACTCAACTGAGGGACTCTAGTCTGCATGGGTAGAGCACAAAGAACAATAAAATTAGACTTACAAGGAAGCCGACTCAACCAGCTACTTCCTTTTTATCTCTCCAGATGAGGAAGCATGATTTTGCCTTGCAAACTTGAAATTTAGTTTATTTTGGAATTAACAACAACAACAAAATATTTATTGGTAAGGTTGCCAAAATTAGTAAAGAAAAATACAGATCTTTTTAGTATAAGTATGTTCCTAATATTGCACGGGACATACTTATGCAAATAAAGTATTCCTTATTTATCTGAAATTCAGATTTAACTGGCCACTCTATTTAACTTGGTCACTTTATTTTTGGAGAAATGAATTATTTCTAGACATACTACTGTGCACACTCTCACTCTCTGCCACACACATACACACACACACACACACACAGATTTTAATACTTCAAAAGAATACAGGCCAGGGGCGGTGGCTCACGCCTGTAATCCTAGCTCTCTGGGATGCCGAGACGGGCAGATAATTTGAGCTCAGGAGTTTGAAACCAGCCTGAGCAAGAGAGAGACCTGTCTCTACTATAAATAGAAAGAAATTAATTGGCCAACTAATATATATAGAAAAAATTAGCCGGGCATGGTGGCGCATGCCTGTAGTCCCAGCCACTAGGGAGGCTGAGGCAGAAGGATTGCTTGAGACCAGGAGTTTGAGGTTGCTGTGAGCTAGGCTGACGCCATGGCACTCATTCTAGCCTGGGCAACAAAGCGAGACTCTGTCTCAAAAAAAAAGAATACAGTTGTTTTATAAACACAGTATACCAATTTGTATTTACTCTCAAGATTGCAGAAACTGGTTGAATTCAAGAACTACCAGTAATTCTTGTTTGTGCTGAAATTAGGGGCAAAATCTATAATCTCATGCAATTATTTTTATCTCTTATTTGGTTATGTACAATTACAGAAATGAGCTACACAACTGAATTTTTATCTTACTACATTATATTCTCTTTTCTCAAAAGGTAAATGGAATCTGGTACCTCCAAACAATTTAATATGAGAAAATACTGCCACCTGGAGATCAGACGCAGGTATGACTAAGAACAATATGATTTCTAAGCCTGGAATAAGAAATCTGAGTTATGGTGACACTTGATTTAATAATGCCATTCTGCCACTTGCCATAATATGTATCTATTTTTTCTTTATTTATTCATTCATTTAATGAACATTTGCTAAGTTTATATTATGTTTCAGATACAATGCTATATTTTTAGAATATAAAGATGTATAAAATCTAGTTCCTTCTTTGAGTTGCTAACAGACTAGTGGGATTACCAGATGTCAGCCCACCCAGGTGCCCTTGCCCTTTAAGATTAAAATGCTTTATTTTTTTTTGAGACAGAGTCTCACTTCTGTTGCCTGGGCTAGAGTGCCATGGCATCAGTCTAGCTCACAGCAACCTCAAACTCCTGGGCTCAAGTGATCCTCCTGCCTCAGCCTCCCGAGTAGCTGGGACTTCAGGCACGTACCACCATGCCCGGCTAATTTATATATATATATATTTAGTTAGCAATTAATTTATTCCTATTTATAGTAGAGACGGGGTCTCGCTCTTGCTCAGGCTGGTCTCGAACTCCTGACCTTAAGCAATCCACCCACCTAGGCCTCCCAGAGTGCTAGGATTACAGGCGTAAGCCAATGCGCCCGGCCTAAAACGCTTTTAAATCTAACCTCATTTTTATATGGTGCAAAATGCGTATTGCTCCCTCTTTCTAAGATTGTAGGGTAGAAGGTGGTTTGTAATTTTCCCATTCTCTTTGGACTCTAAACTCCTAACACAGTTCAGTTTATGGACCACTTTATTGTTACACACATTTTGTCTTTGTTCTCTACCAAATCTCCCAAAGATGTGGAACGTAACCCCTTTCCCTTGATTTCCATAATGATTCATTCATGTAAATCTCTGACATGCAGATTTATCTTGATGTTTGAGAACATGGAGGATGTCTGTGTGTGTGTGTGTGTGTGTGTGTGTTGGTGTGTGTGTGTGTGTGTGCACTTACAGTAACACTAATGATTACATATTGAATAACAGATTTCCTTACCTTTTTTAAAGTCCTCCTCCTTCCCACCATTTTAATGGGCCTTCTCCCTCTGTCCCCTTTTTTTGGCTGTCTCTTAGCAACAATTCCCAACCCCACACTTTACCCCAGTGAATAATTCTTCCCACTTTATTGTACAGAGCAATTCAACTTTCTCAATCTCACACTCTCAAACTCAGCCTCCTGCCCACCTGTGTATACCCAACTTTCACGGTTTATTAGGACAATATAATGGCTCATCTACCTAGAGTCTCATCCCTGTTCTTGCCCCTATATTTAAGATTTCCCCACTCACAGGAATTATGCCAATTCCTTAAATAAAAAAGGAGTGGTAGCAGTTTGGGTTTTAAATAACATTTTAAAATTTCTTTGCTACATAGTTATATAAACAAAGTGTTATGGAATCCCTTCCCTTACTTTCCTTCCTCCCTCCCTCTCTTCCTCCCCCTTTCTCTGCTACATTGGAAGTTGTCCCTACAGGTATTTCTTAGAAGTCTTCTGACACTCCATGCTAATACTACTGAAGTCAGACTAAAATTCAAGAAAGGGAAAGAAATCTGGAGGAAGAGTTGTACTACAGTGTAGCCAATCTGCTGACCCATGCATGGTATACTTTGTTTTCTGGTTAAGTCTATAACACAAGCCTTCTTCTAAAGCTGGAGTGCTCCTATGACAAGAACTTGGAGAGAAGATACTGGGAGGATGAATCATTCTTACATCTTGTTGATAACCATTCCCTAATCCTGTTAACTACTCTTGGCTTTTAAAAGGAGTTGTGAACTTAAAATTGGATTAAAAATAAGATTTGTAGAATCATAAACTGAAACTATCCCAAATATTAAGTTTAAAAATTTTTTGTTTGTTTGTTTATAGCCCTCCAATCAACTAAGTGTTTTTTGTTTTTTTTTAAAGAGCCAATCAGTCAACAATTTCCCTAAGTTTTAGAATTGGTTCCTGCATCACACACACCCCTTGGCAGAAAGGCTGGTGTAGCAAAACATGAACTGCTCTGCCAAGGAAAAACAGCAGTTAGTTGCCTGGGCAGTAATGATGCCATATGACTGGCATTATGACTATGCCTGCTTGGGTTTAAAGAGGGATTACTTGAATCATTTTACTTTCAGAAATAAAATTAGGGAACTTCATTTATTCATCATACATATATTTATCAAGCAACTATTTTATGCCATGTTCTATGCAATGTGCTGAAGATACAAAATCAGGCAACATAGTGAGATCCCTTCTCAAAGAAATGAAAACAATTAGCTGGGCGTGGTGGTGTGCACCTGTAGTCCCAGATACTCAGGTGGCTGAGGTGGGAGGATCCCTTGAGCCCAGGAGTTCCAGGCTATAGTGAGCTATGACAGTGCCACTGTACTCCAGCCTGAGTGACAGACAGAAACTCTGTCTCTAAAAAGAAAAGAAAAAAAAACAAATAAAACATATTTGCACTTAAGAAACTTACAGCCTAATGAGGAAGGCTAGTTTATAAAAAAAAACACATATGTAAGAATGTTGTAAATGCCTATCTTTGTAACTTTTCGGGTCTGTTCTTTACTCCTTGTTTGCTTTTCCAAAGCAATTAGCAGTAAAATACTCAAAATGATACAGGCCTCTGTGTTTATTTTTAGACCTCTCACTAATGCTTTAGATTAATTCTTATAGTAGACGAGAAATAGAGTTTCTTCTGACTCCTGGTCTGGTGCACTTTCCATGACACCACACCATGCTTTAGAAACAGTGGCTCATGGCTCTTCACCCAGTAGTTCCTCCTTTCAGTATTAGCAGTCTCCAGCAGTTCCCAAATGGCTTGCTCATCTTTTCAACAATGGTACAGGTCTCTGGAGGTCCACAGTGCTGGATAGTTCAGATTCAGTCTCTCAGTATCATTTTTAGAGGGTGCCTCAAAGCAGAAATCTTACCAAGATTTATAATGGTAGCCATAGAAATAACATATCCTTTCAAGTCTCAGCTGTGAAGCAAGCCTATATAACACTATATTGTAGCTTATTCATCCTAACTGGCCTCCTTGTTTCCATTCTTCTACAGAATAATCTTTTAAAAATGTAACTTAGACCATGCCATGCTTTAAAACCCTCCAATGCTACTGCTGAACTTAGGTTTTAAAAAGAAAAGATTTCTTACCTTTGATTTAAAACTCTTCCTGATCTGATCCCCCGTCGACCTTGGGATCTTCATCTCATACCACCTCTAGCTGCCTCCTGTGCTCCAGTCTACTGGCATTCTTTCAGGTCCATGAACATGCAAAGCTCCTTTCTGCTTTATGGCTTTTTTTTTTTTTTCCACTAGCTGTCTCCTGAGCCAGGCATGCAAAGAGCATTGAGCAGTGACCTGTCTTGGCCAAGACATTCTGGTATGGGAGGGAAAGAAGGTGGAGGCACACTTACCAAGTGATACATAGGCTTCCAAGTGAAAACAAACATAACCTAAAAAACCCCTTTCCTATAAGCACTACAAGCAACAAGGGGATTATTGTTTTTCAGGCACTAAGGTAGATTATCTATTTGCTTTGAGTGGAGATACTTGCTTTCCCCTTTAGAGTGTAAACTTCCCAAGGAAAAGGACAATGCATGTTTGTGGCTCAACAAATGAGGAGGCACAACAGTGGCTTCCAAACCCACTTATCACCTGAGGACCTTACAGAAAGGGAGATTCCTGATTCAGAGAAAATGTGAAAAAACTGTCGATATTTATGATGCTCATGGAAATTTGAACACTGGATATTTAATAATATTAAGCAACTATTGATGTTTTAAGAATAACTAAGGCATTGTAGTAAAGTTTCTAAAGGTTTTTATACTTTAGAGATCCATATTAAGATATTAGAGATTAAGTAATATCTGGGATATGCTGCAACATAATATTGGAGAGGAGGAAATGTAGGGGAGGGGTATTTTTTACAGGTTTCATCTGAGTACATACATATCAGACAAATATTAGAGGTTATCACATCATCTAACTACATTCAACTTTGCAAGACTAGAAATCAGTTTTCTGACAAAAGCATGAAATTATTGCATTGTATTTATGATGCACAAAAGCAATGACAGTTTCTGTGTGATTTACTTCAGGCTGCACTTGTGGGTGTGTTTATGTGTGTACATGTGAATCACCTGCAATCATGTTAGCAAAAATCACACAAAGTATGAAATTGGTTACAATTTTCTCCTGAAATCTCCATTTCTTTTCATTATCTCCATAGCACCCTAAAAATACACAAGTGGCAAGACTGGTACACTGAAGCTAAATAGTACATGCAGGGAAAAAAACAGAACAAAAATTCCTTTCCATAATGCTGTATGTGGAAACTAAAAAAGAAAAGAAATTCTTTTCCACATAGAGTCAGACTCAACATCATTGGCATCAAGTATAATTGACATCATTGGCCAGAAGTCAATAGCTGGATGAGGTGAGTTCATTATAGTCTTCTGTCTTCTTTGGTATATGTTTGAAATTTTATGTAAGAAAAGTATTTTATAAAAATAGAGATTCTTGGGTCCCCAGCAGATTTTGGGCCAGTGGGTCTACAACCTGTGAATCTGTTAGGTTTGCATCACCACCACTGCTAGGAGATTTGTCAACAGTACTCCTTGTTGCCTTATTATGTATTAGTTCTGGGCAGTAGGGGGAGAGTCTTGTTAGTCAAAGCTTTCATTCTCTAAATATCATCCTTAGGGAGAAAGTATCTAATTAGAGTAATTCACACAAGGAGTGTATTTAAAAGTTAATCCAAAGGAGGGATGTTTGCAGTTTAAAGGAAAATCTAGTAAATCTAGAAAAAAAATTTCTTTTAGGGAGGAATTCTAGATTTCAGATTAAAGAAATCACACTTAAAATTGTACCTCTACACCTCTATCTCACTTCAGTTTGTCCCTAGGTCAGTATAATTCAGCCACAGTAACCCCTCGCTTCCTCAAACATTCCAAACTCATTTGTGCCTAATGACTTGCACTTTAGCCATATGTTCAAGGACGCTCTTTTCCCAGGTCATTCCATGGTTGGCTCATGTACTTCATTCACATCTCAACCTCAAAGTTGCCTTTTTAGGAAGGCATTCCTTGACACTCCTCCTTCAGTACCCCACCCCTTATAATAACTCCCTTTGCCCTTAAGCTGTTATTTCAGGACACTTATCATAAATGAAAAACTGTCTTATTTGCATACAAATTTATTGTCATTCTCCCTTATCAGGAATATAAGATGTCTGACTATAGGGTTCTTGTCCTTTTTGTTCACAGATAAATGCTGACCTCCTATGACAGGGTCTGGCCCAAACAGGGTCTCAAATAGGTATTCAAAACTCTGAATACCAGAAATATGTACATTTAGAATGGTACCTTCTTGTGTCCCCACATTATATCACAGGATGAAAATTCAAATGCCACAGAGCTCAGATGGATGCTAAAGGCAAAGAAAAATTAGTTATCACTTGAAATGATCTAAAGGAGGCAGCTGCTCTTCAGCTTGAACCACTGTTGCCAGGCTATAATGTACATCTTGTACGGTCAGATCTTCCCATTTATTTATAAGAATCAAAGATCCATTTTTTATACCTTCCATTTTAACTGTTAGCAATCAATTTGAAAAAAATAGCATGTCAATCACTAGTTTGCAAGCTCACACAGGTAAGACAATTAGAGATTAGCTAAAAGGAGCCGTCGAGAAAAGATACTGAGAAGATTGTACCCTATAGTATTGTTCATAATGGTGAAAAATAGGGAATAATTTAAATATCCATCACTATGAGAATTTCCAAATTTGTGGTAAATGTATTTGATAGAATGTTATATAGCTAAAACAAATGAAGTTTAACCATATCTATCCATATGGATAGATCTCAAAAACATAGAACAGGGAGAAAAAATCAAGTTGCAGATCAGTGCAGCAAATATTCATGTAAAACTTCAGAAGTCCAAGCCATTCTACATACTGTTTACATAGTATAAAAACCGCTTGGGAAGATACAGATCAAAACCAGCAAATCCTGGTTGCTTCTAAGAAAGGAGGTGGTAGAGAGGGAATGAGAATAAGGGGTACCTGCCTTATCTGTAATGTTCTATTTATTTCATTAAAAAATATGAAGGGACAAAACGTAACAAGTGTTTATTCAGGATAGTGGGTACATAAGCGTTTGCTCTGTGATTTTCTTTTCGAAACATTTATGAATTTCTCAAAAATGGAGGGTGGTAGAAGAACATGGGAATACTTGAAGCCATAAGACTTTGTGTTTGTCTTTGTTTGTCTGTGTTCCTCTTTGCTCTGTGTCTCTGGCAGAGATACAGTCTCTAGATACAGTTTCCTCGTTAGCAAATGCGGGAGGAGTACGTGGTGGCCCTTCAGTCCCTTCAATCTAACAGTCTATGAATCTAAAACCCACTCCCAACCTCCACACCAGGAGGGCTACCCAGACCAGGGAATGAAACATGGATTTCTTCCCTCACTTAAGACAGATTCCTCTCTCTCAACTTGTAATTCCTTCTCCAGAGGCTGTAAGTGTAGTGGATGGAGAACTGTCTTTCGCGACAGAGACACCTGAATTGATCAGCCTTTCTGAGCCTCAGATTCCTCGTTTCTAAGATGGGTATTATAACAGCCACCTCATAGAACTGTAGTGAGGTTTAAGGATAATGGATGTCTAGTGCCTGAAAAGTTGCTATCAATAGTGGTAAAATCTCATTTACAGGCTCAGCATCAGAGTCGCTAAACAGAATCACGCTTTTCACTCTACCTTGTAAGCCAAAATTGATTTAGCTGAGAAAAGTCCGTTCAGCGAATCGGAAACAATCAAGGACAGTTGCTATAGCGACAGTTTGGTTCTGCCTCCGGGTTTGCTCGAATAGCATGCTGGGAATTGTAGTGCGTGGGATCTAACAATCACCGAGGGGCGGGGCAGCTTCCGGAAAGGATACCACATTTCCTGTTCCTACCTGCACCACGACCCCTTATTGCGCCCTGAGTCATAGAGCCTAAAATGAAACACTCAGCCACAGTTCTTCCTTTCCACGCCCACCGGAGTTATACATGAGGGCAGGACAGGGAAGCAATGAAGTGCCGAGGCCGGAGACGACAGCGACACTGGAGAAGTAGGAAGAGGCGGGGCTCCCGGCAAGGGCATGGAGGCTCCGCCTCTTTGCGTCACTTCCGTAAACAAAGGTTGCTGCGGAGGCGCGGGTCTCACGATGTGATGCGAGGTTTAGCTGCAGCTGAGGTAGTAGTTTCGGAGACTTCTGGGTCTTTGCAGGTTGAGGAAGGGGGCCCTGATCCCCTTCTTCTTCAGGTATGTAGTGGAAGCTAAGGAACCCCCTCATCTCCCCATTAGCCCTTTCCCACCACCCGCTCTGGTCACTGCTGGGTACTGGGCGGTGAAAGGTCGTCTCTTGGCAGATTGGGGAAGGTGAGGTGAAATCAAGCGGGACCGCCCCCGGTCATGCTTGGAGGCAGGACCTGGCGCTCAAAATTGTTGTGTGAATCAGTTAACTATGAGCAGTTTTCTTACGCCTTCTCTGAAATGTCCTTTGATGCTTTGGTATACAAGAAAGATTACTGCTCTTGTGACAGATGTCACCTTCCTAAACTGGAAAAGTCTGCAGCCCTGGCCCCTCAGAATATTGTAGATTTATTTGCATTACTTTACTTCCTAGACTTGTTTTTTCTTCCTTGTATCGCCAAATGTGTACTAACATCTTTAAATTTGAAGACTAGTGTGTTTATGTGTATCATAAATTTATATAGATCCTTACCTTTTTAGAGAACTGATATCCTATCGTCTCTATTCATTGGTCTTTTAAAGGTCCATTTAATTTGTGCTGCATGTTGAAAAAACTGTCAAATGACTGCTTTGTTACTAAAAATGCTTCTTAAAGGAAAAATCATTAGCCATGGTTTAAGTGAATTTACAGTTGGTATCTAGGATTACAGACTGGGCATTAGAGCCTTTCCCAGAAAGCTTTTTCTTGTTTGGAGGTATCATAGCTCCAGTCGTGATTGTCTAGGGTCAGCTTGAGCCAATTTGAGCTCAGTGGTTTAAATTCCAGTGCTAGTGGCAATGAGTCCAGACAATAGCAAAAAATCTATTTACATTAAAATTCTTAAATAATTATCTTCAGAGTGATGGCAATGAATTTGAATCTTTTTGAATAGTCACAGCATGATTAAATTCAATACTGGAAGTATAAAAAAGGCTTAATGTGTCTAAGACAGTTTACAGTCTGATGAGGTAAATAGCTGTATAAATTTCTTAATGATACATCAAACAATGGAATTAACACTATACACAAATAAAAAAGAAATATAGAAGGATATTTTTAGATAGATGGATGTTAGGAAAATAAAGTTGGTTAATACATAAAATAAGGGGAAGGTATAGGGATAAATAGAAGGCCTTACACATATTCCACATGGAAGGGCCATTTGTAACTTAACAGTGTTAACTTTTTTGATATGGGCAAAACCAAACATACATCATAGAGATTCATGTTTCCTTGTACATGGGTAGAGAAAATATATTCAAAATAGACAAGGAAAAAATTTGATTTTTTAGAATTTTTCACTTGGTCATGGAACTAGAATCAGTATTAGACGTAGGCTGAAACTGAGTTTCTGCTTGGTGGTTGAAGTAAGGCTTCCAGTTGCTGTTTAGAATACTGGTGATAATTATATATCTGTTTGAATCTAGTTGGTTCTTCCTGAGAATACATTTTGGAAGACAGACCTAAAGTCCACCTGAAGCTTAAGTCAGGCTGGGAATATTACATGGATGATTTGTTTATTGTTTATGTATTGCTCCTCTTGTATAATATAGGCTTCTTAAGGGCAAAGAGTTTGTTTTGTTCCGTGTGGTCTCTGCAATACCCACAATATTGCCTGGCTTGTGGGAAAGAGCAAATAAATTTTTATAGGACAAATAAATGAAGAGAATGGTAAAAAAAAAAAAAATTGTCTACCAGTTTCCCAAGGGCTTCTGTGCACGTAGTAAAGTAGATTAAACTTAAGAAATCTGTATTCTCACTTCTCTTATGCCCTCTGAAATTCTTGATCCTCTTTCAGCCTGTGAAAGGAGTCTTTGAAACTCTTCCATTTTTGCATATTATAGCATATATATGTGATTGCTGTATTTCCTTATTTAGGTCTTAAGAAGCTGGCCTTGGTGCAAAAAGGATCTTAAAACAATGGAAGAACGGAAAGTGAAGAGGAGGAGTCCTAAGTCTTTTAGTGCCCACTCTACTCAGGTTGTTAATGCCAAAAAAAATGCCATTCCAGTTAGTAAAAGCACAGGGTTTTCAAATCCTGCATCACAGTCAACGTCACAGCGACCAAAGTTAAAAAGGTTAATTCTTTTCTTTCACATTTTCACAGTAAAATACTGTTAAAGTAAATCTTGAATCAACTTCTTATAACATTTTTCTCTTGCTTTGACTTTTAAAATAATTTAGCAGCCATTATATGTGATTTAGAAAAAAACATTTATGAAAGTTATAGTGTATAGAGATTAGAAAATATGAAATGAATTATTGGTTTGAAGACCCTTACTTTGTCTTATAGTAAAATACACAGAGCTAAAAATTTAGACATAGTTGATGAGCTAGCCAGAAATGGGAAAAGTGATAAAAGTCAGATAGTCTTTTTTTGTTTACTATGATGAGTGTTTGTGCCTGGTAGTTTTTGTTATTATTTTTTTAATTATATAATTTTAGAGAGTGGGATCTCTTCTGTTGCCCAAGCTTCCCTCAAACTCTAACTTAAGCAATGCCCCCACCTTAGCTCCTGATTGGCAGGGACTACAGGCATGCTCACTCCATGCAGCTTGTAGTTTTTTTTTTTTTTTTTTTTTTGAGACAGTCTCGCTTTCTTGCGCCAGGCTAGAGTGAGTGCCCTGGCGTCAGCCTCGCTCACAGCACCTCAGACTCCTGGGCTCAAGCAATCCTCCCTCAGCCTCCCGAGTAGCTGGGACTACAGGCACGACACCATGCCCGGCTGATTTTATATTATATATACTTAGTTCAATTAATCTTTTATTTTTTATGGTAGAGACGGGGTCTCGCTCAGGCTGGTTTTGAACTCCTGACCTTGAGCAATTCGCCCGCTCGGCCTCCTCCAGAGTGCTAGGATTACAGGCATGAGCCACCGCGCCCGCCCAGCTTGTAGTTTTTATTCTAAAAAGTGATGTCATTGTTTTGTAGAAATTATTTGTGTTTTATTGTAAAGAATGTAAGAAATTCAAAACACTAAAATTACCGCACCAAGAAATAATCATTATTAATATTTGAAGACAATGAACATCATTTGTTTTCAGCATACTTAAAGGAAACAGTGACAAGTTTAAATATGTTTACATATTAATATTACTGTTGCTTATATGTGAGTATTCTGTTGTATTAGGCTATTAGAAGTGAAGATTATGGCTTTAGAGAAAAAAGCATTGTATAATCTCATACTCTTTCTAATTATTAATAAATTTACTGACATGGAAGCTCACCATGGAGAATCAGTTAAGGAAATGCTCTAGCACTGTTTAGCCATTGGGTTTACAGAAAAGAAAAAACAAGATTGTTGCCTCGATGAGGAAATAAAAGAGACATAGACAAAGACATGAGAACATTTGAAAAAGTATTCTAAAAGTATTAA